CTTGGCTTCCACCGCTTTGGACGCGATGTGGATGCGGATTTATATACGATGTGGATGGGGAGATAACAAACTCGTATCTCGAGAAACTGCTTTCATCGTCGGATTCCGTGCTTGGCTTCCACCGCTTTGGACGCACGCGATGTGTTAAAGTAGTGTTTCAGTCAAAGACGTTACCCACACATGTTAGAGTAGGGTACGTGAGGCACTCGGTACGTCTTTACGTACCAAAACCTCTGCAGTGTCATAAACGCATAAAATTTGGGCACGTTAGTGCAGTTTGCAAGGGCGCAGTAACCTGCAAGCATTGCGGTGGCCTTCATGATGGTGATAACTGCAATGCTGTGGCCAAATGCCCAAACTGCTCAGGTGCCCACGACGCAACATCAAAAGAATGTCCCAAAATGAGAAATGAAATTAGTATCCTGAAGAAGATGGTTCGAGACCACTCCTCTTACAGAGAAGCTGCAAGGGCTGTACGGCGCCGTAAACATCGTTCGCGACACCGACACAAACGAAGCAGCAGTGCTCATAGCTTATCGAATTCGACACACAAAACCGTGCCCTATCAACCTCCTAGCCTACTTTTGTCGGCCAGAAAGGAAGATACAGATGCTCAAATGCCAATACAGTCCACGCAAGTACAATGTAACCAGTCATTGGCTCTCCCCACGTCAGAGCCTCAGTGGCCTTCACTACCGTCAAGAGCCACGGTAGCGCCATCATCACATAGTGCCCCTACCCCTAATGAAGAAAACAAGAAGATGGACAACGCAGATGGCAAGGCTAGGCTTAAAAATTTGATGGGTTCAATGCGTAATATTCTCAGCAGCCTAAACACTCCCGCTGCTAAGGCGGCTGTGCAGCAACTTGAGGTTTTGGAGCCTCTTCTACTGGTTCTTCAGTAAGTGAACATGGCCAATGATGTTCGAAGAACGCATGCGCCAGTCGCTTGTTATGAAATGGAATGCTGGTGGCCTACGTAGCTGTCTGTCGGACTTGAGACAATAGGTTTTTAAATATCAATTTCCTGTTATCGTTATAGGTGAACCGAATATGGTTTCGACTTTTCGTATATCTGGATATGTCCTGATTTGGTCCCGCAGTGATCAGCGTACGAGCAAAGTTCTCGTTTGTATACGCCGCAATTTGACGTTCTTGAGACATGAAGTCGCGTCGCATACCAGCAATGATTACTTGAGCCTGACTATAACACATAAAAAGCGGACATTCTCCGTAATAGGAGGATACATACACCCAAGCGCACAGATGGACTGCTTCCACCTGGCGACCATTCTTCAAGCAGCACATAGCTACACATTGTGATCGGCGATTTTAATGCACATCATCCTCTTTGGGGTAGCACTACAACAAATTATCGTAGAAAGGATTTAGCGAATTTTATATACAACTATAGACTAAGCGTACTCAATGACGGATAACCTACAATTGTTCTTGGCACGTCCTACAGCAGCTGCCTTGGCCTCTGTTTCATTTCCAGAAGCCTTCTGTCTTCCACATGTTGGTGCACAGATTTGGAAACTCGCGGCAGTGACCACCTTCGAACCTATGTTCAGTTCAGGTGGTGTCGCCGCACGCAAACACGCTACATCCGTCAAACCGACTGGACACTGTTCAAGGCATCTGTCAAGTCTGGCAGTGAGCACACGACTGATCCATCCGAGGTAGAAAACATCACTGCTTCTTCACTGCGTGACACAACCAAACAGGTTAACCTACCGATGCAGAAATAAGCAGTTGACTTCCAATACGAGGCCCTTCGTGCAATCTGTCGCCGTGCCGAACGCCGATACAGAAAAAAGAAGTCGCTTTCAGACCTTTCCGCCTGTCGTCAAGCTCAACGACATGTTCTTCGGCATCTTGACAAGATTGACAGGCAACGTTAGAGAAATTTCTGTGGATCTCTGGACCCCAGGCAACCTCTATCTAAGATCTGGCGGGTGGTACAAAGCTTGCAGACAACTCCCCAACAACGTCAACCATTTCAAGCTGTTGCTCTACATCAGAGACGGACAGAAGTTGAGATAGCCAGCGACTTGTAGCCTCATCGTGGACACCACTGATGGTCTTGCCACTAATGAGCGTCTTACTACCATTGCGCCTCCATCGTCTGACAAGCGCCTTGATGTACGTTTTACGCTACATGAGCTTGACGCTGCGATTTCTGCCTCCCGCCGATTTTCGGCACAAGGACCTGACGGAATCACGTATGCTGCACTCAACCATCCTGATACAGAAGCACGACGTATCTTGTTATCTCAATTTAACACCTCATGGGCGTCAGGAGAAGTACCAGGTAATTGGAAATGCAGTGGCATTATTGCATTGCTTAAGCCGCGGAAGTGTCCTTACGCACTTTCCTCCTACAGACCAATCGCGTTAGCCAGCTGCGTCGAAAAAGTGATGGAAAGAATGGTACTGGCACTATTGAAGTGGCTTCTAGAGAGCAACAACTCCTTTCCTGCATGTATGAACGGCTTCAGAAGAGGCCGATCTGCCATTGATGGTGTGGTCGACTTGATCACCAGCGTTGAAGAGGAAGGAAGCCGACGCAGACTAGTGGCGGCGGTCTTCTCAGACATTAAGGGTGCCTACGATAATGGGCTGCATTATGCGATCCTTGACGCACTGGAAGAATTCGACATCGGTGGACGACTGCACGCTTGGATTTTTAGCTACCTTAGGGACCGCACATTTTACATGACGACAAGTAATAGAGACACCGATCGATATAAGGTTCATCGTGGTGTTCCCCAAGGAGGAGTTCTCTTCTGATTCTATTCAATGTCACAATGATCGGCCTAGCAGCAGAACTTTCCAGCACGGTGAAGATCACTGCATACGCTGATGACATATGCATATGGGCATCCGGAACTACTCGTCCGCAATTGCGAGCTCGACTACAGCGTGCAGTGACGATCACATACAAATATCTACGACGTCAGGGGCTCACTCCTTCAATCGACAAATGCGCAGTGCTTGCGTTCACGCACAAGCATATGTCGCAGTACCTGATATTTATTAACGGGACAGCGATGCCTGCTGTAACGCACCACAAGTTCCTTGGGGTTGTCGTACACAGAGACCTATCGTGGACGAGGCATGTCGCAGTACTTAAATTTAAATTGAAGAGCTTTGCGCTCATTCTTCGCCACGTAGCAGGAGCAAGATGGGGCCCATCAGAATCATCGCTACTTCAATTTTACAATGCTCTAGTTGAAGGAAACATTCGATACAGCATGTCGGTGCTCTCCAATATGAGACTTAGTTGCGTGAAGACACAAGAGATTGTTCAAGCTCAATGCTTACGAAGATGCTTGGGTCTACCGCACTGTACTTCAACAAATGAGACAATCGCAGAGACTCGGGCTTGTCTCATCACTGTATACATGCTCTGCGAGCCACTTACAATTCACCTACGATTACTGAGCAGACACAGACAGTACCCACTGTCAGTACTACCCGCCACTCACCCAGATTGCAGTTTCTCAAGAGTAATATCACGGCATGAAAATATTATACCATCAAGGTTTTCTCCGCCAAATGCCCCTGCAGTGTCTCCTATGGGTCCTGCATAAACCACCTGTCTCTTTTACGATACCTGGAATTACGAAGAAGTCGCTCAATTCTTCTGTTGGCCTCAGACAACTCACCCCGTATCACATTTATACAACGTACAGTGATTATCTGCACGTGTACGCCGACGGATCCACCACGCTAAACACCTCCACCGCAGCCTATGTCATCCCAGACATGGATATCGCTCGACGATTCAAAGTGGACCATAGAACCACATCAACTGCCGCAGAGCTACTCACTATCCGGGAGGCAATAAGGTTTATTTCCGGAGAGTGACCTCGAGCCTGGAAATTTTCTGTGATGCCAAACCCGCTTTCCAAACCATTAATTGCATCACGAAGGAAGGTCCGTATTACAGCTTGGTAATAGAAATCACAGAACTTATTCAGGTTGCTTCAACAAATGGTCATCTTATAACTTTCCAGTGGATTCCCACTCATGCGGCGTGATGGGAAACGAAGATCCGGACGCTGAAGCTAAAAATGCCTTAAGGAATGCCCCTGAAGTACGCATTGCGTTTTCACGAGCTGACACGAACGCCCTACTTCGCGGCGTGATGCGCAGCTACACACTTTAGCACTGGACCAAACCGGAACGGCGACACCAGCGACTTCACAATTGGGACCCGGAAATGAGGTTCTGCATGCCTCCTAAATTGAAACGGCAACTCACAAGCATGATCCACCACATTCTTCTTGGTGTAGCGTACACCAGATGTTACGAACATATCATCGATCGCAGTGACACCGGTCCTAATTGTGAACACTGTGATGTGCCAGAAACACATGGCATAGGGCGTATTTCGCTGCTGCTCTTTCAGTAAGAAGTAGAGGACTGGCCGTTTAGATCAGTGTTACTCACTCAGTCGTTTATGCTTCGCTGCCATTGTTGAGGTGTGCACAGTGAAGTGAGGCCAGTCGTAGAGATGATGATGCGAACGCGGCGCGTTAGCGTAATCGCGTTCTAAACCAAAGGTGATGCTGAAGCATCACCTTAAAGTCAATTTGGTAAATAGGTGCAGTGGAAGCTCGCAGTATTATGTAGTCCCTCCAATTTTCGTAAGTGATTTATCAAATATATTTAGCGGAAGCTCTCACCATCATGTGGTGTCTCCCTAGTTTATAACCAATCTGTCAAATAAACGCAGCAGAATATTTCACTACCGCGTGTTCACTCCGATTTTCATAATCAGTGTATTTAGCTGAAACTTTCACCAATATATGGTCCCTGCGACTGTTGTAATCAATCTATCAAATATTTTAGCAGAAGCCTTCACTATAATGTTGCTGCTCGAAATTTTAAACTTAATCCATCAACATGAATTTCTCGGAAGTTCTCGCCTTTATGTGGTCCGTACAATATTGATAATCAATCTCTGAAATAAACGTTGCAGAAGCTCTCACCATCATGTGGCCTTCCATTGCAGTCTTAGCAAAACCCAAGTCGCGCAACATAGTCAAGCAGTATCTTCTGTTTGCAGACCAAGCTTCTCCATTCAGCGAACCGAGGCCTGAAATTGTGGGTGAATTCGATTGTGCGCATTGATAAGTAACCATTAGTTGTAAACTTATGCGAACTTTAAAAAGTCAAATCTTCCAAGTAGCAATGGTAGATGAACAAGACTTTACAGTATATAGTTCTTCAACATGTAAGCTGCGGCCATTATTAGAGGGAACCGAGCACGCGTGGCCGCTGTCTTCGGGCCACCATGTGGCCGCCGTGCGAAGTATTGCGACGCAAGCGCAAATAATGCCAGAGGAGGAGTTGGCTGTGCGTTGTCTTCTAGGGTGTCTCCCATTTCGCCCGTGCACAATGTAGGTTTCTCCACAGGAGGCGAATGGGAGGCACCGTAGCAGACGACGCGAAGCTGGCTCCGCGTGTTGCGCTGATAGCGCTTGTGCCACTGTACAGTTCACACGGCGGCCGTTGTGGCGTTGCGCGGAGCGTGATCACCCACTCCAATTTCCCTCTGACAGTGGCCTTGATGGTTCCTTCCACGATAAATGCCAGAAAAATCTGCGAGAAATGGATAGTTATCTCTTGAATTGCGCATGTCATTCAGTTTTTATGTTTACACTCGTACGCAGGCTCACCACTTTCCGACGTGCATAAGGCATGGATGATACAGGGTGCCCCACCTATTCACAGCCCGTTTTAAAATGTGGCGACACACGCAATAACAACGGAATGAAATGCATGTAATTGACTAATACCTGGGACTGAGTCTAACTATTCTTTGTATTCAGTATATTTGCCTAATTAGGTCACTTGCAATAACTAGCATTTTAGGGAACAAAATTAGGCCGGACATTTCAACTAGAAAGTTGTCCATCGGTTCGCAAAGCATTCAAGTATGCATTTAGGAGCTGTACTTTGGGTAATACTTATTGTTTTTCTACTAACTGCACGTGTCCTTGAAATACAGAAAAAATACAACGTGACAAGCTCACTCGCACGCCAATACGCACGATGATTCTAGTGCCCCCTACCGTTGCGCATAAGAAATACCATTGCATTGGCCTGATTGTGCTGTATTGAGAGGGCTGCAACGATGATGGTGGCTTCGCCACAAACACGTTAGTCTATCAGTTACATAAGCGATAACTGCAATGACTTCTCACCACTGTCATGAACAGGAGCGGAGGAAGCATACCGTTCGTACGCGGAACATTAGGAAGCACTAGACTCGGGGCGCGCATAGGCATGCAAGTAAGTTTGTCACGTGGTATTATTTTGTATTTAACGGGCATTTTTAGTTAGCAAAAAACGCTGTTAATTAAAAGATATAAAGTTTCAAAGCGTCTAATCGGACGTTTTGCAACGCTCTGCCGCTGTGGTCTAGTGGCTAAAATACTCAGCTGCTGACCCACAGGTCAAAAGATCAAATCCCGGCTGCAGTGGCTGCATTTTAGATGGAAGGCAAAACGCTGTAGGCCCGTTAGATCAGATTTGGGTGCATGTTAAAAAAACCCAGATGGTCAAAATTTCCGAAGCCCTCTACTACGGCGTTTCTTATAATCTTTTGGTGGTTTGGAGACGCTAAACCTCACATATCCATCAAACCATTCAATTGGACGTTTTGCAAAGCAATCTACAAGTTTCCCATTAAAGTTTTTGGCCAGCTTTGTTTCTTCAGAAGTAAGTTAGTTGAAAAGGTCTAATTAAACAATTGATCATAACAGCGAAAAACAACGTCTGATTCACTACAGACGACGGTCGGCAACATGAATTTGGTTGCATCTTAAAGCCGTGCGTGTTGCCATATTTTTACACTCCAGCTAAAGATAGCAGAAGCACTCTGTATAACTTTGCTTTCAAAAGGCTTACCTCTTTCTAAAATAATTTACTAAGGAGCTTTCACATAACATTAGGAGCGACTAGGGTTAAAGCTTTATAAGTAAATTGTGATAACGAATGCCTTTATGGTGCTAAATGACCTAAAAGCGGACCTAACAAGGAAGTCCAACATGGGAAGTGCAAAAAGTTTGGCAGAAGTCATTGATCCGTCGGCTTGACGTTTTGGAGTCAATTAAAATAACTCACAGAAAAACAGTCGCTCAAGCTATGAAAACACAATTTTTGGTTTAATGTGAACACGTCGTGCTCACCAAACCGCTCGAAGTGAAGCCCATAGCGCTTATGGTACACTACATGGTTTTGTTTTCTTTGTAATAGAGCCGTCAAAGAACACGCAAGAAAAATGAGTTTGCACGTGATTTAATTCATTAACCTTTTTAATGCCAAGGCCAAAATCTTCATGCCGCTTGGCTTGAAGAATGCGTGACTGTGTTGACAGATGCGGAGTCGTATAGCATTTACTGGTTTCGAAAGATCGCTGTTTTAACCCTCCCTCCAAAAAAATTTGGTGAGAGGTGGGGGGGGGGTTGGACCAACCCGCCTTGCCCTACATTTCCATTCAATCAAGAGATGGGTGGGGAATGGAATAAGAGAAGATTAGTAGAAACATGTGGCGCAGTAATACTGCGTAATCTTTACGAGGCTACTAGTCACCATTCCTATTGTTGGTACCAGATGTGAAGGTCAACAATCTCTAAAGTATGCATGAATGGGTCCGAAAAAGGGTATGTCTTGGAACTTTCAAAATGCGAACTCTTAGCTTAGTACAGAGCTTCTATAGAACGGCGCAAAAAGATGGACCAGTGATTCATATTGATACGTCGTTGAGAGCACTGATTGAATTTCACGGATAGCTCGTCGCTTCATTACTTTAACTTTAGCCTTTCCGCGTAAAAATAGCGAATGAGGGGAGTTTTTAGATTGGGCTTAGAGCAGTGAATTTTGTATATTTCGCTTAGCCAGACTCTAGGTGCATGTTTCCCGTCCCCATCAAGATCCTGATGCAGTCACCCACAACATCGCCCCGTGCGTCGCACATTGTTTTGCGAGAACTTTGCTGAGTGGAGCGCACACAAAAGTGCTTCTGAAGGAGGGATGCGTGTCTCCGGTAGGAGGAATGGCGATGGTAAACGAGTGGGAGTGAGCGGGCCTTTGCTTGGCATCGATCAGCAGACAGCTCGTAACTTGGTGTGTTCTGTACCTAATACTATTTTTTCTGTACAAATAAAAACAACAACAACAACAACAACAACGAGAAGGTAGCTTCCGTCGTGACAGTGGTCAGGCTCTCTTACGTCAACGTTTCGTTCACCTTCACTCGGTCGACTGCTAAAACTCTTAATTGAGATATTTTCCAGTACAACATTGATATTTGTTACAATTATATTATTTGGGTTTGGCCTTGTGGTGAAAGTGAGACTTCTTAGTTTGGCGACAACTAGTAACTCACAGGTTCTGGCTGAAATGACGGAGAAAGTGCACCGCTATTCTCATATACAGAAAATTATGGTCATCGTTTTTAAATTACCCATCCCCAAATTTGACTTGGTTTGATATAAAGCATTTTTTTTATTCTGCATCATGCTAATTCTGTAAAGTTACATTCATTCACGTCATGTGCTGGCTAGCCTGACATTAATTTGCGTTTAAATAGCACTCTCAGGCATTTAGTGGAGTTGGTATAAATCGACGGCTCATAAACAACGTGGTGTGGAAGATGAAAAGGCATTTTGACTACACAAATTCAAGCACGGGTATTCAGAGCACTGCAGTGTATTTATTAATTGATTGATATGTGGGGTTTACGACCCAATACCACCATATGATTATGAGAAAAGCCGTAGTGAAGATCTCCGGAAATATCGACCACCTGGAGTTTTTTAACGTTCACACAAATCCGAGCACACGGGCCTACAGCATTTTTGCCTCCATCGAAAATGCAGTCGCTGCGGCCGCCAATTGATTCCCCGACCTGCGCGTTAGCAGCTGAGTACCTTGGCTGCTAGACCAGCACGACAGGGAGCTGTGTACTTGGTAAATTTGGGTTGTGAGTAGGACGGCACTTGTGTTGATCTGATTTAAATCTTTTCGTGTTCTTCACACCATATAGGCTGTATTCCCCAGGATATTGCCTTAATAATTGCTGCAATGGTGATGTTAACGGATCAAAAAGCTCTTATGCCAAAATAAGCTCTCTTATGCTGTCAGGGAAAATTACAGTACCACGTGTTCTTAATCGTCTAGCGTCATAGCAAAGGCGAACCTGTTCTTGCTATGACACTGGAGGTGCAACTGCCTCGAGGGCCTGAAGAAACTTGTTTTGGCGAAGAGTTTCACTAGCACGTTGAATTGCTGCTGAAAAGACCGAATTTCTAGGTGGGCCCTTAGATATGCCATCACTGAATTACGGTTGTCATAATTATTTGATAATCAACGAACAATCGATATTCCTGGGTGTTCAATTATATACAGCCCAATCTTTATCCGTCTTACGTTTTCTTACCCAATACTTTCGCCGACTCTGAACGCTGTTGAGTCCCTACAACTTTATTTTCAAAACTACTTACCATACTGCACAAATAACTTAGTATCTAGGTCTTAGGTAATGTTCAAAAATAAGAAATAAAACTATATTTTTGGTTCAATTATCATGATTGGCTTATTCACCAGGAATTTCGGTTTACTCATGAGGCTCGTTGGTTTCATCACCTATTCCGAAGTGGTTGGATCCCCACTTCGGAATGTCAAAATACAGTGTTTCATAGCAACCGTTTATTAGGGGCTTCATCTAATATAGACCACATTACTTCTCCACAAATAGATACAGTTACCTTTGTAGCTATCACGATTGCCAGCAAATATATGTGACCGGTAAAGAAACTCCTTTCTGTTGAATACTTTTTTGATGTTCTCATAGTCATTGAGGATGACGACATTCAGAACGTTTATCTTGATCCTGCAAATAAAGATTAGACATTTAATAGTGATGCACACTGATTTTAGAGCGGCTACTTGTTGAGATACAGTATTTCATGCATAAAGTTATTGTGAGCATACCTAAACTTTAGAGGGGTGAAATATGAAATATCTCGGTAACATGCACAACATGCCACTATGTGTAAAAGAAAGAAACGCGACACACACGAACAAATATTGGCAAGGTGGACACGTGGCTGTTTGTTTCTTGCCTTTTACCGGTGTTTTTTTTATACCCTGATATTGCTACATGCCTGCATATTGATGTTTTAGGGGTGACGTGCGTGTGTGCCTGACGAGGAAGACGAAGGTTTTTTCCGCTCGACCGCTGGTGAACCCGTCAAGCCATTACCGCTGGTTTTGGATATGTCTTACCCCCAGCCTCGGCGATACGGCGTCTCTTCTTTTCCGTAACCTATTTGGTGGAGGTGCAACGTTCCTGCCTTCACCACGAAGCTTCGCAGTGGCCGCATCGTTCAGTCTCCGGCCATGGCTACTAATGCCAACAGCCCGTCAGTGTCTTCATCTGTAGCTCCGGCCACTACATACCTGACGATGCCCATCCCCCGTGATCCCGGTACATTATCCGCACAACCTGAGCTTGACGTTGACTACTGGCTCCGTATGTACGAGCGTGTTAGCCAGACACACTGATGGGACCCTACCATGACGCTCGCGAACAGTGATATTTTACTTGGACTGGCACCCCACGGCTCTGGTTCGACGCCCATGAGACCGAGCTCATGCACCAGCTTGGATACCTTCTAAGAGAGACTACGCGACATCTTTGGGGATCTGTCCGGTCGCCAAATGGAAGCAGCGAAAAGAACTCGCCACTCGTTTGCAGTCCTCGACAAAGTCGTATGTCTCGTACATACAGGACGTGCTCGCGTTGTGCCGAAAAGGTTGACCGAGCAAATGACAGAGAGTGACAAGGGGGGCCACATACTAAAGGGCATCGTCAACGGCGCCTTCAAATTGCACGTCTACACTAACGTCACGACTGTAGATATGACTATCTAGAAATGTCGCTGCTTCGAAATGGCCAAAAGCCGCCGTGTTCTGTCTGAATTTACGCGGCTACCAAACACGGTTACATCCGGTTACGCGGTTACATTCACCTGCACCGATTTCGGCGCCGCACGACCCATGTAGGACAGCGTGACACGAATAGTTTGAGACGTCAAGCCGGCGTCAAGTCCGGCACCACTTCCGGAGTGGTGCCGGCGTCACCACTTCCGGGGCTCACTTCCGGAGCTCAAGTCCGGAGCTTGAGGCGTCAAGTCCGGCACCACTTCCTCCACATCCGCTCGACCATGGCGCTGCACAAACGCCTCCGGCGGTCTCCGTTATTCAAGCCTTCGCGAGGCAGGAAATTGCAAAGCTCGGTTTTCCTGTGGCCTGCTCTGTCTCCCGACCCGTCTACAGACCAATGACAACAAATGCACCACGCCATGACTCACATTTTCTTCCGCGATCCCGCCATCCGGCGGATTGGAGAGCTGCATAGCTCTCCAATCCGCCGGATGGCGAACTCGGTAGGCCAACTCGGTAGCAGCTTCCGCTGCTACCGAGTTGGCCATATCTCCCGCTACTGCCGGTGCATTTGGATGCCCTCAAACTGGAGCCATTTTACCTCTTCTCGCCCATACGAGGACTCCCGTCGGTATCCACCCAGTCGTGTGTACCTTTCTTCCGACGTCCCTAACAGCCCCTCCACCGCTCGTTCGCCGTCACCTCAACGCCGCCGTTCCCCACCACCCCAACCACGCCGCTATTCTTCGCCGGTCAACTATGGATGCTCTCGGATGGAAAACAAGATCATGCAGTTCCGGGAGGTAGTGCTGCATCACTTGCGACTGCACCGAATCCTCCGTTGACTTTCCCCACTAATACGAACTTCATTGAGGTGTATGTTGAAGGGATTTCTTTGACGGCATTAATTGATACCGGAACTGAAGTGTCCATAATGAGTGCTCATCTGTGTCGCCTTCTCAAAAAAGTCCTCCCGCCTGCAGTGACTAAAGCCCTCCGTGTCGCTGATGGTGGAACTGTGGCCATCACAGGATTGTGCACCGCTCGCGTTAGTATTGCCGGCCGCCATGTCTCCGTTTTATTTACGGTACTTGAAAATTGCCCGCCCGGAAGACCTAACCTTCAGCATGGACTTCCTATTAGCGCATTCTGCCCTGATTGATTGTGCCGCCGGTATTCTCTGCCTAGAACTTCCTCTTCTCCCGGATTCTCACCCTGAACTCCCGAACAGCCTGTGCACCATTGACTTCTTCCGGATACCGCCTAAAGCTTTAACATTTGTGGAATTGGCAACACCCCTTCCCGTGCTCGACGGTGATTATATCGTGACGCCGATTCCTGTATTTTCCTGGCGCGTGACATTACTGTCCCACACTCCGTCGTAGCCATGGCCTCTAACCGAATATATTTACCTGATATCAATTTCGATTTCATGAAAACAAGTGCTACCCCAAGGCAATTTCGGTCGCCACGCTAAGACCCCTAATTGACGACCGCGTCACCTGTTTTACGGCAGACGTATGTCCCGAAGCACCCACATCACTCGCAGGATTGCCACGTGCCATCATGCGATCCTTACGCTCCATGATCGCCCCGGACCTCCAACCTGAAGAAGTCAGCCACGCTATGCCACCTTCTGGCTTCATACCGCGACATATCCGACATCGACAGCCGTCCACTCGGGCAGACTTCACTCGTCAAGCACCGCATTAACACAGGTGATTCTCATCCCATGTTATCGGTGACCATACCGGGTGTCTGCCACCGAGCGTAAAGTAATTCAACAATAAGTCGTCGAGATGTTGGCCAAAGGAGTTATTGAGCCCTCTTCGAGCCCTTGGCCGTCCCCCGTTGTGCTCGATTAAAAAGAAAGATGGCACGTGGCGCTTCTGCGTGGATTACCGCCAACTGAATAGAATCACGAAAAAGAACGTTTATCCTTTACCACGCATCCATGATGCTCTCGATTGTCTCCACGACGCCCAATACTTTTCTACAATAGACCTACCTTCCGGCTACTGGCAGATTGCGGTCGACCAAAAAGACCAAAAGAAGACTGCAATTGTAACACCAGATGGCCTATCTCAGTTCAAGGTTATGCCGTTTGGGCTATGCAATGACCCAGCCACGTTCGAGCGCATGATGGACTCTCTGCTACAAGGGTTCAAATGGCCAACATCTCTTTGTTATCTTGATGACGTCATTGTATATTCCCCAAATTTTGAAACCCACCTTCAGCGTTTGTCAGCTATTCTCGACATATTCCGCACTGCAGGCTTTCAATTAAACTTGTCGAAGTGCACCTTTGGACGCCCGCAAATTACAGTTTTGGGCCACCTTGTCGACGCCTCTGGTGTGCAGCCGGACCGCGAGAAAATTCATGCAGCCACCAGTTTTCCTTTACCACAGTCAGCCAACGACGTCCGGACTTTTGTAGGACTTTCCTCTTATTTTAGAAAGTTTGTGAAAGATTTCGCAACCATCGCTTGACCCCTCAAAAAAGACGTCACATTTACGTGGAGTACTGACCAAGCTGCTGTTTTTTGTCACCTAATCACGCTACCGACGACTCCACCTATATTGGCTCACTTTGACCCATTCGCTCCAACGGAAGTTCGAACCGATGCTAGTGGTCACGGAATCGGAGCCATCTTAGCCCAACGCCAACGGGGACATGACCGAGTAGTCGCCTACGCTATCTGCCTGTTCAGAGCTGCTGAGCGCAACTAATCCATTACAGAGCACGAATGTCTTGCTCTTGTTTGGGCAGTCTCAAAGCTCCACTCATATTTATATGGTACTTTTTTCTCTGTGATAACTGACCATCATGCGATGTTGGCTTACGCCACTGAAGGAGCCTACTGGCCGGCTCCGGCGCTGGGCTCTGCGACTCCAAGAGTATACCTAAACGGTGACGTACATGTCCGGACGCCTACATCAGGATGCAGACTGCCTGTCCCGCTACCCGGTTGCTGAGGCAAGCACTATGCCTGACACCGACACTGAGCCTTGCGTTTTTTCCCTTTCGCAAATGACATGCATCGGTAACAGAGCAGCGCCATGATGCGTCCTTGCAGTGCTATCATTGAGTGCCTCGAATCACCATCTTCCACTCAGTCCCAATCACTCATTCTTGCTCCACGATGGCGTATTATACTGCCAAAGTTTTGAGCCAGATGACGCCGGCTCTGCTGCTTGTCATTCCGAAACACCATTCGCTCGGAAGTTCTACATGAAATTCATGACCTTCCGACTACTGGTCACCTTAGTGTGTCGCGCACTTATGACCGAATACGCTGACGCTTCTTTTGGCCAGGGCTTGCACGCTCAGTCAGAAGATACGTTGCGGCTTGTGTGAAATGTCAGCGCCGCAAAACAGCATCGACACTTCCCGCCGGACGCCTTCAACCACTTGATATTCCGCCAGAACCGTAGTTCCGCTTTGGCCTGGACCCACTTGGCCTTTTCCCCATGTTTCCTCGGGTAACAAGTGGATAGCTGTGGACACTGACTACGCCAGGCATTATGCCATCACACGAGCTCTTTCAACAAGCTGCGCTACAGATGTCGCCAACCTTTTCCTCAAGAACGTGATTTTGCAACACGGAGCCTCACGGCCGCTGCTTACAGACCGTGGCCGCACCTTTTTGTCGAAGGTCATAGCCGACCTCTTGCAGTCCTGTAAAACGAGACACAAGCTGACTACGTGGACTCTTGGAGTGTGTAAATTGAACTCTTAAAAACATGCTCGCTAAGTATGTTTCTACCAACCACACCGACTGGGTTCTCGCGTTGCCGTACATCACATTTGCCTATATTTCTTCGCGTCATGACACTGCTGGTTACTCTCCATTATTTCTGCTCTTTGGCCGAGAACCAACATTGCCTCTAGACAGCGTCATACCATCCCCTGAAGTACTCGCCAGTGAATTTGCCATAGGACGCTATCAATCGGGCCGCTCACGCACGGGAAATCTCCCGCACTCGCCTTCTGACCTCTCAAGAGAAGCAACGGCACTTGTATGACCAACAACACCATGACGTACACTATCCGCCCAGTTCTTTGGTCCTGATCTGGTCTCCGACCCGTCAAGTTGGCTTGTCAGAAAACTGCTTACTCGCTACACAGGCCCATACCGAGTCCTTTGTGTGGTTACTCCTGTAACATATGAAATAGGTCCTGCCACCCCGTCGCCTTCATGTGCTCAACAGGCGACCGATATTGTACATGTTGTGCGCTTGAAGTCCTACAACCCTCCTAGTGACGTTGACATTTAGAAGCGCCGAGACGGCGCTTGTGCCGCCGGGGGTTATGCTACATGCGTGTATATTGATGTTCTAGGGGGCGACGCGCGTGTGTGCCTCACGAGGAAGACGAAGATTTGTCTCCGCTCGATCGCAGGTGAATAAGTCACGCCTATACCGCTCGTTTTGAATATATCTAATCCCAAGCCTCCGCGATACGCGTCTCTTCTTTTCTGTAACATTATGTTGAAGTAATTTTGCACACGTTCATAGTGTCGTGGAAATTATCTCTTCTCTTAACAAATATATGGAGGGCCAGCTAATTAGGGTATTGCTACCGGTTTTTAATGAAGCTTCTTTTAAAAACAGACGGAAGATGATTCATGTGCTCACACCATATATGTTAGCACAGCTTATGCAGTGCGGCATTGAGCAAGCTCCAGCAGTAGCTTGTCTATTGCCTTGTAGCAATATTCAGTATTTCACTTGGGTTCACGACCCTTTATGGTTGCCTGATGCCCAAAAGAGGTGCTTCTAGCTGTGACCGGGCCTATCCAGCCTCGCTTTCTTAAAGAAAAGCGACTTCTCCCCGCGTTTGCGCCCATTTTTTCATGTGAATATTTCTTTGCCGATACGAGTTTTTAGGGGGAGGCTCCTTAAATTGTGAAACGTGTCCCTCAAACTAGCATGGTGTAGTAGTAGCCATGTGCACTTCTAGTTAGTTTTATGAATCGCTCTCTAGATGGCTTTGCGTGTACAGGTGCCAATAACCACACAGGAAATAACTCACCGAGCGTGTGAATAAAAGTATGCATCGGCTTTCAAAAACAAGACACGAGACATCATATTTCCGTGTCTAACCTTAAAAACATTCGATTACTGCAAAAAGACACTTCATATATGCCATTGAAGCGAGTCTACAGCTGAACTGCCTCAATGTCAAATGATGCTATTGTACCGACCGTCAGTGACGGGAACGATCCCGAAATTGTAATGCACCTTCAGCGTATCGATAGATCGCCCACTCACGAAATACCTGCTAATTATTGGCTGCTCTACATTCTTCGACGAGACTTCGTGGAATACCAGTTAAGTGACTGTTCTGGTCTTTAAGCCGATGCGTTAGGGGTACCGTGGGGACAGCGCAGCCACACACTGGCCACTTTCTTCCCCTGTTCATAAGGTACAACATGCTGATGATGCAGCTGAATTGGACAGCTGGGGTACCAATTGTTTTGCGAAATATCCTACAGAAGATTTGAAACTGGCCTTGTGCTTTCTCTAAAGGCACCAGGATGTTGCCCTCCACAGGACTGATAGTGGAGGCGAAATGCACGTCAACACAGACCTCTTGGTGGCACAGGCTCCAGCTTCTCAGTAACATAAGCACATGCGCGTGCGGTTATTTACGTGCCTGGATCACGTTTAATCAAACAACCGGGTGAGTTCAGGGCAACTTTTTACCCAGAGATACTCCAAGTTTGTCACTCCTGCTTCCTTTGCACAAAGGGCTTCAGGCGTGCAACGTGTGAAAGGTCCCGATTCAGTGTCTGACTACACCACCTCCATCTATAGACAAAGTTTTCTAATTCGTCTTAAGCCTAAATGAGAACCTCGTGGCTTCTTATTTCAGAACATGTGTCTTCTCAATTATCATTGACGTCGACTACTTGCTGTGAGGCGTGTAATAATGCAGCTGACCTTCATTAGATCAAGCATAATCAAATAATGACTATGAATAGTACACAATCAGTTTTTCGGGCAATCTACGTTGGTCTCTATAAGGTCGCAGCCAAATTAGGTCACCGGCAAGAAACCGTTTCGTATAGTTATGAGTTATGTATATGGCTGCATAAGCTGCCCGAATGGTCAAAATCTGAATGGCAACATCACTAAAAAAGCACCAGAAAGGCACGTACAAAACCCTACCTGAACACGGGTCCATACTCTTTCGCCCACTTGAGGCAAATTGTCCGGTGGAAGTCCGGGCGAAAGAACTCAACGTGTCCTCGGTAACTGCTCGCTGGCGGCATAGGGGGCAGCCTACTTCCAGGAGGTGCACGCCTTCGCAGAAGCCACTCGCTCAGAAAGCTATACACCATCCACAGAATAGAAGCAATCATAGGAAGTATTATCATGGTGACGCTCACTTTTGATGAACCTGCGTCGTTCGAAAAAAAAAAAAAACGGACGTCAAGACCGATCTTTTTAAACGTTAACTCCAGTGAGTTTTTGAAGTCAGTGAATCCCTATATATTTCGCTGCGTAGCTTGCTCTATACGTTTCCGTCATTTGCGCCCAATTAGATAGTAGAGTGATACGCATATTTGCCACATGGGAATTTTAAATATTACCCTATTTCTCTGAACCGGCTGTTCGAAATTAAAAACGACATTGTAAGTGTGACATGTGGCAAAGCGATGGAAGTGACGGAACCTAGGTGTGACCGCATTGTTTGCTGTCCACCAGCGCGTGTGGTTGGCCATCGCTTAGTTGGTTCCGTGAGCGTTTTCAATTCGTTGTCGGCCTTCGTGTGATGGGAAGCAAGTGTTGCTGTGGTGTGGTTGCACACGATTCACTGTATGTAGCTAGGACAACCACTGGAGAGGCCACCGCTGCTGTCACTGCGGCGTGGTAAACGACATCACGTGACTCATCTGGCCGTCGTCCGTGCAGCCTGTTTGCTTTCAATCCCGAAAGAGTTCATTTTATAGCGCACAGGTGTCCTTACAACTCGATTGCATAGTGCTGGACGCATTCCAGTCGGCCTTAGTTGTGAATGAATCTTTTCGAAACGTCTCGGCGGCATTATAATTGACTATGATACCTCATTGGCGAAACAACTGAGCTTTCATCCTCAGATGCTCTGCTCACTCAGCAGTCACCCTTTTTTTCTTCTTGTAAACGTTCGTGCGTACGCAAAAGATTTGTTTTCAGAATTGTAGTGAAAGTGTCCTGTAAGTGTGGTGGTGTACATTGTGGATCTGCACGCATCAAAATCTAAATATCTTTATTTGCACCAGGCTTGAAAGAACAATTCCCGAAGCGTGCGATCACGCAACCATTATGTTTGACCCATGTATGGGTAATTGCACGCGTGATGAGGTCTCTTCTCACTCCCTTGTATGAGTTTCTATGCATACCCTAAAGCAGAGAAGCTGCGGGGTCCCTGTTCGATAAAGCCGAAATTGAGGAAGCAGCCTCGCACGCAGTATCTCTTGTGCAAGCACTTTCACGAAAAAGATTTCGCGAACTGCGTTGAGGCTTGAATCTTCGGTTAGTATACGCCAATAAACTTCTCGGGTATGTACACGTAGGACATTTGCTATGTTTATTCACGCCATTTCAACAGGCTTTTTTCCGCTGCCTATAGCTCAAAAGAAGCGAGAATCAATTTATCCTGACGCTGTTATTTTGCGTCGCATATTAGGGACGGCCCTCCTTCTGTTAGCAGCCATTATCTGCTGAGCAACTGGTAGCGAATCGGTTCATGCCAGAGACCGGCGGAGTCACTGATGACAAGGACACGGTGATTCGAGTCAGCGATGCGTGCAAGTATGTGCAACGTTCTCGCATCACAGCACATCAGGGAATACACCCGGTGCCGAGAAGCACATGTACACGAGTAGTGAAAGCATGGATTTTGTAGACAAAGATATGTGCGGGTGAACTTCCTCTTATTGAAATATATTTGTTATAAGTTATCGTCCAGAGCAATTCTGGTGAAAGTATCAGGCCACACATGCCATGGTTGTTGTGAACATTGTGGCATATGTCGGCAATAAAAGCTCAATGTACCCTTATGAAAGTTCATGTGGTCTTAATAGCTATTGTCAAAGCATCGCTTGCCTTCGGCCACTTGAAAACACTCTGAAAACTTGGTATTGTCGTGAGTAGTGCGCGGCAGTGTACACAGATGGAACGCTACCTCTCCGCCGTATCCACGGTGCCATGCGCATGTGCTCCGTCGAAGGTGCACGACGTGGCGTCGACCACACGTTGGCTTGCTAAAATCTTTGTTGGCAAAGACTCTGGTTGTTTTAGCGGGTCATACAAACAGAAACAACGCTTCCGAAGCGAGAACAGCAACGGCTGAACAGCACAGGAGTTGTCGACCACAGCGCACAGTCGGTATCAGGTTGTGCCTTTTTAAACGTCCCCGAAGGATTCCGCTAGATGGCTCCACGGTATGTTTTCGCCGCCAATATTGCCTGAACAGTCACTAAACACTCGGAACTAACGTTTAGGCCAGCAGTGCCACTTCATCAAATAGAAGCTGCAGTAATTGTAACAGCTTAAGAGTGTACCGGCCTCAACATAGCAATGTGCTAAGTATTCACATTACCGTACAAAAACAATTTTCGTAACGTATACAGGGTTCACCACGGCCTAGCCTAGCACTTCCTGAAAAAAGGTGGCTCATACTTGGCTAACATTGCCATCTTTCGGCTCTTCCAGCTCAACTTTAAATGCTGGTGCAGCCACATCTATGCACTGTTTCCACAAAATTACAAAAAGGTTCAGTTTTTCTTGAAACATTTCAGCGATATCAATTTACAGGATCATGGCCCTAGAAACTTGAGTTGCGTGGACAGGTGAAATGCTTAACCAGGTAAGAAAATAAATAATTGGGTGTTCTACTGCATCAAAGAGTAACCACGATTTTAGCGGGCTTCCTTATGCGTCCCAATCACAGCTATTGTTAGAAAAGTTTACTTCAGCGAACAGAGAAAGATACCGCAAAAAAGACGTGAGAGGGAGCAAGAGTGTGCATGCACTGAAACGAAGAGAGAAGAGTGCGATTGCGCTCGCTAGATCTCGGCACTTACGTGGCACTCGCTACGGCCGCTGCAAATATTACTGACCACGCTCTCGCGAAATTTTGACCTGCTGAGACCAAAACAGACTGTCCGCGTGCAATACCAGCGTGGTGGTCATGGCAGCTAATGAAGTCGGTGTGAATATCGGCGTTGCCCTTCATTTGTAGTTTAACTAACTAAACTGAAGTCATACGATGAGTATCCGCATTGAATTGTTACAGCTGCTGAGCTGGAGCAAATAATAGGACGACCGGACGTCAGTTACAAAGAAGCAGGAACGTGGTGTTGATGTGAAGCACTGCGACGATTGTGTGAATTGAGTACATGGCATAATGAGTATAACCCATTTGAACAGTGGTGGTGGCTTCGTGTGTTTCACCAGCAGATGTCAGAATGATCACGTGCAAAAGCAGGCGAAATGTTAGAAAGGAAAGGTGCGATTCCAGAGCCATCTGGATTCCAGAGCCATCTGTGTTGTAACAAGCTCAGGTGACTTTTCTCGCACACAGGCAGCCCACATGGCACCCTCATCATTTTGTAAGCACCTTTCATGGCATGTGAAAAAGGGCGCGAAAACACAGCGGCACCAATAGAGGTAACATTGTATTTAGCGCTTAGAAATTCCTGTCCGGCGCTCCTTTTTCCTTCATCTTACAAAATTTCCTTTAGACATGCGACAAACAGTAAATTATAATTTGGCAGAAAGCACTTTTTATCATCTCTCTGTCACTAGGGCTGCTAGTTCACCTAGCCGGAACGCCCCAAACCACCACAAGCCATCGTAAAAGCTCGAGCTTGTCTCATGCCTTGACGTGTGCGTTGCGGTGACACACAAGTGAAGCCATAACAGTTATTACAGCTTCTTGCTTCTCCGCATGATGGCGGGAAACAAAATTGAAATACAAGCTTGTTGGTACTAAGGTGCAGCACAGTTTTCAGACAGATGTTTAGCACGGTGAACTAGTGCTACTGGCGGCAGCCTGAGACGGAACATACTCAACGCGCAATGAGTTGCGGACGTAGAGCTTTTGCGCGCACAAAGCTAAACTTCTGTACTTTCCGACACTCCCTAGGAGATGGTTATTCACAGACACGATACGGTTGTTGCGATGGGACTATATTTTCTCGTAGAGTGTGCTTACGCTCCGCTTTGGCACCTTTCATACTTCGGGCTCACCATACCGGCATGCTTTTGACGATTACCAGTTTTTTCTCCACGTCTGCGTCCCACGAAGAGAGTACTCTTTGCGAAGTTTTTTGTTTCAGTGGTGCACGTTTTTGCAGATGTAACCTCATTGACAAGTTTTCCGCGTATTTCTGCTATGACGCCTTTGATAGTAGCGTCTTAGGAACTGCTATTACTTGAACATACTAAGCAATGTCGCCGGCCTGGAAGGCATTTTTGAAACCTTTACTACAGAACGAGAACTGCAGCGCATGCGACTAGTTTAAGTGTAGAAGCTTATAGAAAATAACATTTTTAATGAAGTTTGTCGTTATATTGTTTTTGCAAAAACATTCCTAAACCACTCAACTTATAAAGATGTGTACCTGTCAACCATCTCCTTGTTACCGATGCTATGATTACGAATTTTCTAGCCCTAAAATTGGTGTCGTGGGCAGTCACACACTTTTCGCATAATTTGGAAGAACGCTCCCAGAAGTGCTAAAGGTATGTGAGAATTCGTTATACCTTCACGACAGAAAGTGGTGTAATAGTATCCATTCAGATGAGGCTTTCCTGATTGTAATCAAGGTACCCAATTAACGGCAGCAGTACGCAGCAGCCTTCAGCGTTGAAAACGTCTCACAATTAGCGCTCATTTACTGGCCTGTTGATTGTATAGGAGTGTCTTAGTCTTTATCTGATCATAATTTCACGTTGACAGTGTTTTGTGTCATCACTGCTGTGAATTTTGAATTATCTTTTCCTCATCGTCAGAAGCACGCTTCTTACTAAAAATGTAAGCACTTCGCTAGGGTTAAAGCACATGATTTCGCCAATTCAACACTCATTAGACTCCACGCCGTGGTGGGGGGCTCTAGAAATTTTGTCCACATTTACGTTTATACCAGCTTTTCTCTCATATTATCTCTATCAACGAACAGTGCACAGGTTTGAAACATCCGGCCTTTGTAGAAAATGACATCTGCGCCCGGCGTAAAACACGAGGCCTTCGCAGCAGCAGGGCAGTGCTGTTACTACTGCACCAAAACGGTGTATATGTTTCTCTTTGTACTCAGAGGTTTGCGCTGCCAGTACTGCATCCTTAAAATGTCTCCAGTAATATTATACCAAAACACGCCACCCTGTGTACATGACTCACGTTTTCCATTTACA